TCTTGGATATTTGATCTAGGTGTATCATAGTGCAAATGAACCACTGTTGTATAAAGCCTAGATTCTAATCTATTTTTTCAGTAGAGACGGAATATATTTTCCTCCTCTCTTATTTCATGTTTCTAGGAGGGTTTGATCTTGGTCCAGTGACTGGTTACGTGTAATAGCACTGATTGTTAACATTAGATAGTATTTCCTGATGAAGTCACATAATTTACTGTTTAATGAATGGTATGTAAAGAACTGAATTCCCTTCTCACCGCTATGTTAATAATTAATAATGAAACTTGAGTTAATGAAACAAACTGACATCCATGCAAAACTAGCCAGTTGCTGAAGGAAATTCCATGAGAGGAATCATACTGATGGTACAATTTATATAAGTCTTCCTTTTATTAATGTAACATATATTTCCTCCTGGATTGTGATGAAATGCACCATTCCACAAAGCAAAAATCATTTGTCCTTCAAAAGAAAAGAAAACCATTTTCAGAAAGGCCATTTATTCCAAAAAAACATTAATTAAAAAAATAATAATAATTAAAAATTTATTCCAAAAAAACATTAAAACATTAAAACAAAAATCACATTATAGAAAATCAAACATAGAGTTTCCACTCTTCGATAGAGTTTCTCTCTTTCAGTGTCATAGAGAAGTAGGATAAAATGGTGAGAGATGCTGCTGTCCTCCAAATTTCCCCATAAGAATATATGAGCTCATCATGGAAAACCAGACTGTCATCAAAAAACATTTTCACAATCTCTGTGTTTTGATATTTAAAAAGTCCACTCTGATGGACTGCAACAAAATATCCTGTCAATGGAAGTTCCACAGATGTGTCTGTGCTCCACAGATCCCATCTAGGATTCGTGACATAAAGTTTGGATACCACATTACTCCATTTGTCCTGTAGCAATAACTGAGCAAAGGCAGTCATGTGGGCTGGAGTCATACATGTGGGCAGAACATATACTCTGAACATATGTACTTCTCTACATTCATCACTAACTATCCATGCTTCAGAATGTAGCAGGCATTTAAAGACTGTCACCAGGCTGTAGTGATGCAGCAGTCAAAAAAGAAAAGCCATAGTTGATGTAAGCAAATGGGCAAGTTAATATGGGTTGAGAAGGAACTAGGCAACATGTACGTGAAGTTATTTGTGCACATATTTATCTGCTCAGTGACTGACTCTCAAGTTATCCCAGTCAGTGCTGGCCTGCATCAAACTTGAGTGCTATCATAAAAGGAAGTTTTGGAGATGGTATTAGATGGAAATAAATTGTTGCCTAACCTTGACAGAGCCTGGAGTTGTTCTCATTTATGATAGCTGCCCTGAGCACATCATGGAAGCTGCATTTAGAACAGGATGAGACTGCGGGGGAAACAGGCTTCACTTTTCACCTCTCAGGCCTGGCTCCTGAATGCTAATGCACAAAAAGCACACTCCATGTTCATCCTGTTCTCTTGGTCTCCTGAGTGTCTGCTGTGGGAGAGGCTTCAGAGCACAGTGAGGCTTCCTCTCTGCCCTTGTTTCAGGGTTTCCTCTGGAAGGATCAGCAGATGAATGGGAATGTGGTGCACAGTCCACTCTTATTCTGACAGGTACCTCAAGAATAGTCATTGTACAATTTTGTCTCCTGTAACAGTTTGAATACCCTTCACTTGTTTTTGCCCAACTGCTTCTGCCACATCTTTTTCAACTTGATTCCTCAGACTGCCATTTTCTCCTTCTGAACAGCTGAAACAAGTGTCTGCATGGATCCCCTTTGCCAAAATGGCGTCAGTAACAACAGCTGTTAAGAGCGGGAATATAAACAGCATATGGGAATGGAGAACCCAAAGCTGGATGAAAATACAGTTGTCCTAGATGGCCGTTTAAGAGAGGAAGACAAGAATCAGCTAGATTAATAACCAGGTAATTACAAAGAGACTTTGAAAGGAAGAAATCAGCTCAAAAAGAAATGTGAAGTAATTAAAAATCTGAGATATTGGCAACAAAGATCATGGAATGAAAGCAGAAGAACAACTGACCTGGCTCAGTGCTGCCCCAAGTAACTGCACTGGGATCATAACCTCTGCCAAGGCCTGACAAAGCATCCTCTCCTTCAGGGACCATGAGCATCCTACCTGCCAGCTAGTGGAGTGCTGGTATAAGAGATAACACACAGGGACAAACATTTTGGGAATGCTTTTGTGACATCATGAGTTGCTTCCTCACCAACGTGTGTCTTAGGAGATTGTAGCAAGCAACACAGACACTAAGATCGAGAGAACCCAGGAGATAAGGATGCAAACGTGCTCCCAAAGATGTTACATGTTTGTAACCCACTCTTCCTTCCAGTGTGTGTATGTGTGTGTGATCATGTGTACATGGAGGGGAGTGAGGAGGTAGAGCTTTTTGAGACAAGTTTTGGAAGGGTGGAAGTGTGTAGGATTAAACAACATCCTTGAAGTGTCTAGTACTCTGGCATATGTTATAGTATCAATATGATCTTGAATACTTGGTTCATTGGTTACTGGCCAATTCTGCTCCAAGAATAAATCAATAAACAGCTGTGATGCACATTCAGGACAGTCTATGTGAATGGAGCAAGCCTGGCTGAGAAAGTGGCAGTTGTATCCTGTGAGGAAAGAAAAGCTGAGGCTTTGTGTAACAGGTGAGAGGCATTGGGCTCAGCAGGGAAGTTGTGAGGCCCATCAGAGTGTACCACTGCAATGCTGTAGTTATGTGCTTTGTCAGATGACAGGGAGTTCATGTTCTTCTGCCAAAGGTGTATGTGATCCCTCAGAGTTTCTTTGAAGAGTATAGCTAAGGAGAGGGAAGGATTCCACCAGCATCATTGTGTGAAGCTTCTGGCACAGTTAATACAAAGTCCTGAAACTACCCTCTCCGAATGAGAGCTTGCCACTGTCCGTGCTATTTTGCTTTCCAGCTGTGTGACAATGAGCAGAAACTAAAGTATTCAAGTTGAATTTCAATCCATTGTTGCGTTTTTATAAGCAGTGTATTTCTTCTTGTCTATAACTTGTTAGTCATTTAGGTTTGGCACTGGTCTGGAAGAACAACTCGGTTTTGGTTGGTCTGACAAATGAAACGATTTGTTTTGTTGTTGTTGTTTTTTTATTTCACAAATAAAAAATAGAAACGTTTTCCTCATTTTCAAAGAAGCTGTTATGTGTAGGGCTTTTCTTGTGCTTAATGTGTATCTAAGAGGAATTATCCATTTACAAAGGAAAAAAAAGATTTTATTTAAAAATTGCCAACCTTAAAAATCGTGTCAATGGCAATTTCAGGTTTTTCTCTCTCAGCTACAACTATTCATTTATATTTTGGTTGACCTAAGTCTCTGCTTTTAGAATAAATACAATTCTGAAGCAGCGACTGACAATCGGTGTTCCCTACCTCTGGTGCTGACCGAAGTGGTAGCTGGAATTTTAATTCATGTGATGATCTCTTTAGTGTTTGCCAGGTAGTAAAAGATGTAGTTTATCTAACTTTCTCTTTCACTCTTCATAATATTTTTCCCATCAGACGGTTTTGGAAGTTTATTTAGTGTGTATTTACTCTTCCCCAGATGATGAGACGAGACAGAAAATCAAGTAGGAAAGGAAACGCCTCTGGCATGCCATAAAGGTCACTGTAACAATCTCATAATCTCATTTCCTCTTTAAAGTTTACCTGGGAGTCCCAAACTTTTTTTTCATGCCTTAGCTCTGCCACTATGTAAAAAAGGAACTCGAGCCCCATGTTGCAATTCTGTGGTATTGCGGTGAAACGGAGCATCCCTTTCAGAGTTTACAAGTGTTTATAAGGCGGCTGGCGCTCTGCTTCCTTCAGATCACAGCACCAACCTGTCCAGCAACTTCGGCACCCGGCAGCGCAGGAAAAGGTACGAATTCCTTTCTTCTCTACCAGCAGGGCTGCACAAGTCTGGCGGCTGCTGACTGCACAGGAAACTACCGACAGCTCTACAAAATCAGGTCTTTGAGTGTCCTTACATCTCACGCTGTTTTTCTCATAGCGGTATTTGTATGTTTACGAGCCTGAAGTAAAAGGCACATTGTGTGCATGTGCATAGTGAGCAGAATTGTCACCTAAGTAACAGAATAGCTAGCGTTATAATGATCTTTTGTAGGTTACCGCATTCACGTTACTGGGCTGTGTGCTTAGATAAATATATATTTATGATTAAACTGATGGTTTTCTAAAAAAGAAATGCATCACCCTTGAGCTGGCCCTGCCCTGAGCTGGGACCTGCAGAGTTGCTGTCTGACACAAACCTCCTGTGATGCTCAGTGAAGGAATCTATGCTGATTTGTGGCAGCTCACGCCCTGGATCTCACAGAGCACATGGAGCTGGCATGCCATTCTCACCTATGAAGTGCTCAAGCATCTGCACTGATTAATGATATCCAGAATCAGTCTGTTTATGATTAATTTTTCAAGACAATTGTGAGTTGGAAAGAGGTGGATAAATTCTCCGTGAAAGTTTTTAACTTTTTTTCACTGGAAACCCAAATTGTGAAGCTTCTTGCTAAAATTGGACAAAACTTTTTTATTTGAAAGCTCTAAATTTTGATGGCGATATTGAAAAGAAAGCTCTTTGTATTCCCTTCTCCTCTCTCCAAGCTTTTAATCAATACTTCAGGCTTTTAATCAATACTTAATGAAGCACAGTGATGAATGCCATGTGGCTGTGAGAGAAGTGAGTATCTTTGAGAAAGAGACAAAACGTAGCTTTCATTCACAAATTACAGATTATCCTGTCCACAGTAGGAAATCGGGAGCTAAGAGTGTTTGCCTTCTAACAAAGCCATACTGCTATATTTTGAATTCAGGACAAAGTATTTTACACGAGATTCAGAGAATAAATATTGTATTATGTATATGTATTAAGCATATCTACTATTATACTATAATACATATTGAATATGCATTTATATGGGGGGTATGTGAGGAGTCGGGAGCAGCTGCTGCCCCCCCTTCCCCTCCTCTTTATCTAGTGAGGATGTATCAAGCTGTAGTCCATTATGTAGTATGAATTTCATGTATGTAATTTTATGTAGTGTGAGTTTTTATATAGGACTACTGACACATTTAAAAGCTTCGTAGGACTGGAATTTATGTTCATTGGTCCTTTGCTTCAGTGCCTTATTCTGTAAGAAACCTCATTAGCATCAGTAGAGGTTCTCTTGCTCAAGGAATATGTGACTCAGGGATCTGGGAATGCTTCTGAGCCTTTGACCAGATAAAGATCACATATTAGACCTAGTGCCAGGTCTAGTTCTTCATCTGGTTCACTTGACTAGATAAAGGTTAAGACCTATGCACACAGTTGCCTCCAAGTGCCATGGTTTCTTCTCTCATACTGGTTTGCGATATGAATAACTAGAAGGTCAACATCTTGCCTCGAATTGCAGTGCATGCCTGCATGTAGAATTATTAGAATGGGAGGATGTTTCTTAGTTCACTGGAACTGAATTTGTCATCTTATCCAGCAACTGAGCTCAATTTCAGTACACACTCAGCAATCCTAAATGAAGTAATGTATTTTTTACCTACAGATGTCTCACCTGCTATTTGCCTTACTTTCATTACTTTCCTTTGCTGCCCTTCTGGAAGCACAGTGGAAACTTAGAGAGAATGGTAAGAAATCTGTTTGTCAAAGTGTTGAGAATATACTTCTTTACCTTTATGTTTGAACTCTAAGAAATTGACTTTGTCTGTCCTTCAAAAATCCATCAGTAGTTTGCTAAGCCTCCAAGCTTTCTGGAGTTGCACGTTTCAAGCATTTGACATGGATTTCTCGGTGTTTTTTCTCTGTGGTAAAGTCTTGAATCTGTCATTTTGCTAATGCAATGTCCTGGTGTAAATGTTTTATGGCTCACTGGATCTCTGGTTCCCTGTGGTGCTTGCTGTGGTGTCGGCACCATGAGAGACAAATTTTTGCCCTTTCTTGTATGTAGAAAGTCTCGGACAGCCCTAAACATAACTGGGGAGCCTCTGACAGTGGTAGCATACCTGAGCAGCAGCAGTTGAATTTGAGAACTGTAGACACACAGAAGCGTAGGTGAAGTCAGCCAACCTGACTACTATTTCACCTCCTACATGAAACCATAGCAAACAGACAAGATAATGTTCTTTTAATGGAATATTTCCAAAACATTTTGTTTGGTGGTGTGTCTGGTAATTTGGAAAGACCAGTAGGGCACTGCAGCGCTACAAGGTGGCATTTAGAAGGCTGCATGCCCCTGTTGTAGTCCACTTACGTCTGCTGTAACTCAGAGGTCTTCTGTCTCTCACTAATTGCTCCCTTTCCACCAGAGTGATAGGAGTACAGATTGATCCCTCCAGAAAATGGGAAACATTAGCTGCAGATAAATGCAAATCACTTACCTAGAGCTGCCCTCCTTCCCCTCAAAGACTCACTCAGAGATCTTTAGCACTGAGGAGGTCCTGTCACAGAGCCAAACACCACAGTACTGAGGGCTGCACATGGCATTCTGTGAGCGAAAGCCTAGGGCCATGATTATCCAGATCCAGTGTGTCCTGGCATCCTCATCTTTAAAAGAAAGGTTCCTGCCTACTTCCCATAGTTAAGAACCACTGTAAGATTTTCTGGGAACAGAGGAAAAAAACATTTTATCCAATTAAAATGTCATCCCTGTTGGTCAGTGGGTTCTAGGTGCTTCGTAAGCTTAATATAAAGTCCTTGTAGTGAAGATGTCCAGATGACTGAAGAAAGAGATTTGGTAGCAGTCTTTCTAGAAAGCAGAGCTGGAAAAATGTCTCAGTTCAGCCTTCCTGCTGTTCATTCTTGTTGGTGCTAACATGTCTTTCTCTGCAATATCTGAAGTGTATGTCATAGAATCTGAGTGGAACGACGAGACACCAGCTAAAAAAGTGAAGCTCACCTGTAACACATCTGATGAAACACTGCCAGTTTACTGGAAAAAGGGAACAGAACTGAAAGGAACTGGAAAGACTCTGATCGTCGAAGTGAAGGAGTTCCCAGATGCTGGCAACTACACCTGTCTGTCAGCTAAGACACACGAGATTATCAGCTACAGTTTCTTCCTCATAACTAAAGTAGACTCCAATAGACAAATGATACGGTCGATTCTGAAAAGCTATAAAGGTACAGTCACAGCAAGATGTGATGTACTGTGGTCAGTTTTGTGCGTTGCACTTTTGTGAAGACTAGAGGGAGCTCTGCAGAAATGTTTGAGAAATGTACACCTGGACATCAGCCATCTCCAAACACTCCAAACACTGAAAGAGAGATGATGACTGTGTGTGTGTGATGCGACTGATGAGCAGAACAGGAATCTGTTGTGGGATTAATTTTGGGTCCTTTAGATTTGTAGGATGGAGTGATGATAGGAACAATTGGACTGGTACAGAAAACAAGGGATACTATCATTACTACACCACTGCTTTTCTGGTAGGGAAACTACTGACTTGTTTTGCCTCCATCTCGCAGACGCAGCACTGAGAAGGATGCTCTGCCTCTAAGTAATGTATCCTTGCAAAGCCAGGGTTGTAAGATTTGTCAGAACCAGGGATTGATCAAGATTTTAAGTATTGCCATTTGAGCTTCTCCATTCATGATTAATTCACTGGGACAAATCTGTGATTTTTTGCATTTTTGCAATGCAACTTACTCAGCTTGCAGTCCCTCACTGTGGAACATAGGAACACAGGAACTTCCAAGGCTGGAAGGTTTTCCAGCTGAATAGTTACTCTCTTTCTCTACAAAAAGGACCAATGGATTTGTCTAAATAAGCCCCTTACTGACAGGTTCTGCAGCATGTTGGGTATGTTCTAGCTCTGCCAACTGCTGTGTAGATATGGTTAATGTGGTCTTGTATAGGCCAGCTTTTAGTCTCCAGCTGTTCTTACATGGCTTTTTCAGTAGAGGTACTGCCCAATGGGCAGCAGGAAATTGTGGTCTGCCTGCCTACCCACCTGCCAGAGGAGATCAGAATTTATTGAACTACTGTTTTCTCCCTGTTTGGATCAGTTCATCCAAAAAAGTAAATAAATTGCATTTTCTTTCTTTGTCCATCTAGAGCCAAGCAAGACATTCTTAAAATGTGAGGCGAAGAACTACTCTGGAATTTTCACATGTTCATGGATGACAGAAAATGAGAGTCCAAGCATGAAGTTCACAATCAGGAGCCTAAAAGGGTAAAAGCTTGTACTTTCCTTAAACACTTCATAGTACAGCCAGAAGAGCCCTTGGTGTCTGTGTAGGGGATGCTGCACTTGAGCTCTTGAGGGTGCACGGAAGGGGAGGAAACCTGCTTTCAGAATCTGAACATCTGCAAAATATTTTGAGCGTTCGCTGGAATTGGTTTTAATAAAAGCATGGAAGTCACTCTGAAATTAATACTGATTTGAAAATGGAACAACCCCCACCAGACTGTTACAGCTGCTACACTTAAGCAATAGCAAAAGCAGCAGTTCGTGCAGGGAAGAGAGAGGAAGTTGAGCCAAAAGCAGAAACAATCGTAGCACTGAGTCTCATCAGATCCAGTGGAATTGAAGGAGTGGGAGGCTGCACCCACGACAAAAGCCACACGTCCATGGCCAAGTCTCTGTTGAGGAACACTGCAGAAACCTGCAAGGGAAATGTGTGAGGGGAACCTTGGGGGAATTTCCTGCCTCCCACCACTCTTGAGGGTTTCTCCAAAACATGGAGTGCCTGGGCAAAGGTCATTTGAGTTTGTTAGAGAGGAAAAAACTGCAAAATGTTTTATTTTGTTGAATGTAAATGTAGACACAGACTCTTGTCGTCTATTATAGGTTGCATCTTTTTGTTAGTTCCCAACTGAATGGTTTAACCATGCCTCACTTGTTCCAGCGAGGTTTTGGAAAGGACTGAGGAACAAAGTTAGATACCACAGCTTGGCATGGAGCAGAGAAATGAACTTATCCCATTTTATATTTAAACACAAATTTCTTCTTCAACAGAAGAAAACAGAAAGTTAGGATGGACTTTTGTAATTTTATTAATATATTATATAGTGACTAAATATATAAGAACACACTGAATTATTTCTGCTGTTCCTTACGTGCAGACGTAGGGTGATACACACAAGACCAAACATTATCTTACCAATTACGTGGTATAATTATGGCAACAAAATTCTGAGAACAAACCAGTATTTTGTTTTTCTGTTGTATTTTCAGCTCTCAAGGAGATGTAACCTGCAGCAGCCCTGTGGTTCACACTGAAAAATCTGTGACTGAATACACTGTCCAGTGCCAGAAGGAAAACTACTGTCCATTTGCCGAAGAGCACCAGCCAACCGAGATGTTCCTGGAGGTCATTGATGAGGTGGAATATGAGAACTACACTAGCAGCTTCTTCATCAGAGATATCAGTGAGTAGATCAGAAATCACCATTAGTTCTTAGCTTTATTCTCGCTGCAGGCAGTGGAACTAGCAATGGTAACTGACCAAACCAAGCTTGGGAATCCCTGCTCTGTTCTACTGTAAATCTGAATTCTGCCCCCAGTTACAGGAACAGGGGGAAACGAATCATAGCAGCAGTCTGGAAGAAGATGAGGAAGTGAAGAAGCAACACATCCATAGCTTGTGACCTCCAAGCCTCTCTCTCCCACATCTGCCAGAAGTTTCTGTAACCTTCTCTTTTACATAGATGTGTTTTGGAAGGGGCATGTGGGGGAAGTCAGAGAACAGCCAATAACCCAGCAGGCGATTCTTTGAGAACTGCAGATTTACTCAGATTATGGTTAAGGCCAGGAATGCCTCACTCCTGATCCATTCTTACAGATGGAGGAAAGCATGTTTTGCTAAGTGCCCTAGCAGTCAGCAGGAGGTGAAGATAACCATCTGTCTCTAACAAAGCCTCCTACAGCTCTCCAGGCAAAAAAGAAAACCCTGAAGGATCTTACCCAGAGGGGCTGTGGCGATGTTGTTAATTTTCCATGAGAAGCATACAGTGCAGTTCCTATGCATCATGCCAACTCCTGTCATAATGTAATAGAGGCTCCAGCAGCCGGTCATATAAAACTGCCAACAATAATACACCAACGTGATCTTATGCTGCTAATACCTATTAATGCATTCTATATTTTCTCTTGTAGTAAAGCCAGACCCTCCTCAATGTCAGTATGCAAGCACAAATGGAACAGTGACCTGGACATATCCCAGGACCTGGAGCACACCAAAGTCCTACTTCCCTTTGACTTTCAGGGTCAAAGTTGAAAGCACAAAGAAATACAGAAGCAAGGTAGAAATGCAACATTTGATGTGTGATTTTCCTGTTTTAACAGACAGTATAAATAAAAGCTTAGAGCATATGAATCATGGACTAGAATTAAAATATAAATGCTGCTGAGCCTCAAATGTAGAAAAGTTCTGTTTTGGAAGACAATTACCTTCTCAGTTCTGTGAGCAGTAAGATTCAACCTAGGGTGGATGAAACCTGATGTAAGTTGGGAGATAAAATCAGGTCCAGTATTGCGTGGCCAATGCTAGCATGACAAAGTATTGACTAACTCATTAGTACATTTTGTGGGTCCTAATGTGGGAAAATCCCAATTTCCAAATCCATAGGTGTAGGATCTGCTGCAGTGAGTTCTTGTATGTCATTTGAACCTGGCTAGCTCAGACTTTATATGTGAATTGTCAAGTAAGGCATCAATGACTCATTTAGTAGCATTTCGGTGGATACTGGTGAAGACTGAAGTCTTTGCCTCTCATATTCCTGTTATTAGTTAATTGTCATCAAATTGTTAAAGCTAATATTGCTAATCCATTTTAGCTTGAAATAATGAGATTATTTTGCTTCCACTGTTAATGCTTCTGGGTACACTAAAGGGCACACAACAGCAGTAGAGTGATTTGTCTTGGTAGTCAAAGAAATCAGCAGCAGAAGTAGAAAGAAATATGTAGAGACCACAGTGCAGGTCCTTCACTGCTCTTCCTTGGTCCAGAAAATTAACAAATGTGAACATTACAGTCTGAAATCCAGTTGAACCAAGGACACTAAAAGATATTTGTATGTGAAAAAAAATAAGCAAGCCTATGCCAGCAGATGGGGCCATTGACCTAGTAATGATTCCTTGATATTAGCAGGGCTGTATTATGCAATCCCATAGAGAAACTGGCAGGTCTACAGAGCACTTCTTGTATTAGCCAAAAGTCTTCAGAGAAAATCAGCAACCTCTGCCTTTTAGGGTTCCCTGTTTGAGGAAAAAGAGGGAAGAAGAGAGAGAGAGAGAAGAAAAAAAGATTAAAAAAATGAGCCCTCTGTTTGAATGACAGTTGGAGCTTGGAGTTCAGATTGCTTTACATCATTAACTTCAATGGGAGTCATAGTTTGTTTCCACTGTGGCTAAGGTTCTTACAGCTCTTCATGACTTTGACATGGAACAACAGACTACCAGTGTTTCCTGCAGTTACATATGCTTGGTGCTGCCTGTCCGGCACTTTACTGCATGTTTGCTTGACCCTTACTGATGGAGCTGTGCCCTATTCACAGGTTTATGATGCTGATGAGCAGTCTATTCAGATTCCGAAGGCTGGGCCAAAAGACAAGATCTCCGTGCAGGCCAGGGATCGCTATTACAACTCATCCTGGAGTGAGTGGTCTGCACTTTGCAGGTAAAACAAGTGCCCAGCCCTCATTGGTTGGAGCCAAATTCCCAATCCCTGGCTGACTGGGGAACTTCTGAGCCTGTCATTGTCTGCCTCTGAGTCCTTTAGAGAGATCAGTGGTGCTTCATGAATCACTAAGACCAGCACAGCTTTATTAAGAAACTGACTAAAAATGCAGGTCTGAGGAAAACGAAGATAATTCTTATGTAATTGCCTTCCATTTATTTTACAGATAAGCACCAGGAGATTGGTGTAATGCTCCTCAAGAAAGCAAAGGATGGATGAAGACAAGCAAATATGCTAATTAGAAGAAAAATCTGCATGTGAGATTATTAAGAAGCCACGCCTTACTCTTTTTTTCCATAGAATAGTATGATCGTGATTCTGACAGATCTTTTACATTCTCCAGGTTTGAGTAACACCACTAGCACACATCATGTTATATTAACATGTATGGTACAGTGATACATTCCTGTCAGCTATTATTGTTGGTTCCATGTGCTTTTGTATTGCATTTATTTATTGATCTATTTATTACTTACTTGATATGAATTGCAGTGTCAGTCGATGGCAGCTGCCAGTCAGGATGTTTCATGTGTTAACTTATACAGAATGTAACTTATTGAAAGAACTATTTAATAATTATTTTATTGTTAAATTATGCAATTACATTCATATTTATTATTTATTTATTTATTTATTTATTTATTTGAAATATATCAGCACAGAAAGCCTTGGCTGCATGAGGCAGCTCTGTATCATACATCCAGGCTTATCTTCCTCTTCCAGTCTGGCAGTTAATATTTTAGAAGAAGGAACTGCAGACTCAGAGTCCTGGAAATGTTAACTGCTGCACATTTTCAGCTGTTTGTGGTCAGCACTGCACATCATAGGCAGCTGAAATTGTTTAATAGTTCAACTGCTGTGTATCTGATATTTCAGAGAGCAATTGAGAACTGGTTTTCTATGTGAATGTTAAGTGTGTAATTAAATTTAGAATTTTAAAATATGGATTTTCATAGAACATTTTGAAGATACTTCTTTAGTACTGCCAGAAGTGCTATTGTGTCTTCACAGAACCTTAGGAAAAGAATAAAATCCTAATTCTGAACTGCTTACAGTGTAAGTGCCCAGGTCTGGAAGAAAAAGCACAAGCATGTGTTGAAGCCCCTGCTTTTGTTTTTGTTTTTTTGTCAGTCCACCTAAGTTGTGGCTTTCAGGAGGACAGAAGCCCTTTAAGGGCTTGGGCCTTTATCCTTGATACAAGATCATTGGAAATAAAAGAGTCCTCAGTTGTGACCATGCTTCCTTTTTCTTCCAGTTTTAGAAATGGGTGGTGATTTAAGTATTTAAACATTGAAACATAGGAAGTATCTGAGATTTCAGAAAACCATTCCTAATCTAGCTACAAGCGTTTGTTGCTATTCTATTATTTAAGTATTGCTATTTATTTATTACATTATTACTTATTGCTATTGCATATGATTCTTATTTCTGCTGTAAACACAACTTCATGACATGCTTGTTTTATAAAGGAGATAATAAACACATCTGGAAAAACACTGATTTACCTGTGATTTACCTCTTTAAAGATGAACAGTTAATATCACATTAATATTACCTTTCAAACGGAAAACTTTGTTCTACTTCTGAGGCAATGTCTGCAGAGAAGTGTTGTATCTTTTCCTATATGAATTGCCTAAAGGTACCGAATCAGTGTAGATTCAGTAGAAGTGTACAGGACAACACCAAAAGGTGATGTGTTAGCAGGCACTTCTGCAGGCTGACAAGTGATTGCATCCTATGTAGACTGAGGGTACATTGAAATTCCCTGTCCTTTGTGGTCAGAAGGCTTTTAACTGCAATCCAGCTGACATATATCTTGATGTCCTTGAGATTTCTCTCTAATACTGTTGCTACAGTGCTCAGAATTAGTGGGGCCTTCCTGTTATTCAGATATCTGAAGCATTCTTGGTACCAATCACTGACGCCTCTTATTAACGTTGATTCGCTCTGGTTTTCATTCAGACAAAAGAAAATATGAAAAGAAAATAAGAAAATAAGAAAAGAAATATGCCTTTCTGTGCCGTGATCTCGCCAGGTGAAAGAAGCTTCCCCTACAGGAAGCATTCCTGGCATAGATCACAAGGTGACCTGGAGCCCGTAGTGAGGCAAACAATTGTCTAAGATTCTTCAGAAAACCAACAGAGCACAGCTTGGAGCTGCCACTGCTCCTGCAGAGAGCCAGTTACGTGTATGCTGGCTGTTCTCTGAAACCAAGCTGGCTTCAGTTCTTGGCTATCCATTCCCTGGAACCTGCTGCACATCTCTGAATGCCTGCTCTAGGACTTCTCAGGCAGTCTCCCATCTCAGAGAAGCTCAGTGATTTGTGTTAAATGGTGTTAATATCACACTACCCATTTTCACCAGCATGGCTCTGTACACTGGAGATCATTTCCTAACACACTCCATCTGCTCAAGGAAATATCAGTTGATGTCAGTTCACCTTCATACTTCCCTTTCTTCATCCCTCTCCTCATTGAGATGCAAATAATCTCAAAAGCTTTCACAATACAATTCATTGGACTGTACAATGCACAAAACCACCCCTCAAAAAAACTTCTTACTGTTGCAGAAAAAATCCTGATGGAAATAAGTTCATTCCTGAGGATCCCATGGTCCGACAGGACCACACGATCAGCCCTCTGTGAGACCCTGCTTTCTTGATGACCTGCCTTTCTCTGGGGATGAGCAGCTCCTCCTGCTTTCTACTCGTGCTCATCATTCAACACGAGACTTTAGATTTTACCTACCACACCTCAATAAATTTGCGCTGAACAGAGACTGACTAATTCCCTGCAGGGATTTTTGTGGGTGCTCCTCATCCTGAAGAATGTTTTACAAATAGTTGGTGTACTTCATGAGGCACTAAGAGATTGCAGTAGGATCTTGCTATCCTCTATGTGCTTCGGTGATTAGAGGTGGGTAAGCAGGCATTTGCTGACATCAGAAGGAAAAACGGCTTATATTTAATTAGGGGTTCTATGAGAAAATGCATGTGAAGATTTCAGGTCCAAACGCTTCATTATACCCCTCCTTCCATGCCGACCTTCACCTTTTCTCTCTTTGTCAGTTGCATCTTCTATTTATGAAAAGTATGGTATTTTTAATGAAAGCAAAATCAATCTGTGTCCTCTCTCTCAACACTGCTGGCAGAAACTTTCTCTCAAGTATTTCAGATTAAATTTCTGTCACACCAAAGTCAGTGGAAGTGCAAAACATCTGGAAATTGCATCTTAAAATTCAAAACAAAAGGCAATATAATGTATAGTAAAGGCAGAAGTCATAAAGAAAAACAATAATGATCAGCTCTTTGCAAACTCTTGGTTCGTTAGATTTTATTTTTATTTTTATTTTTTGCTTTCTGAAATGATATATGAAATGTTCAGCTGGGATCTGTCCCAGCTTGATGACTGCAATTTTGCAGAAGGAATCATTTGTTATTTGTTAAGGTGTGGAAAATGGGAAACTCACTTTCCTTCAGGCAAATACCCAAGTGTTTTGGCACAGTTTAATGCTGTTACATCACTTGATTTTCATGCCTTCGATTGAGCAAGAATTTAATATCTTAATTGATTGCACATGGGCGGACAACCCTAACCACCCCCACATGAAAAAACTGGAGGAGTTTGTGAACTAGGTTAGGTATAAACATGCAGTGGAATCACTAAGTCAGAATCCTCGCTCTTGACAATTTCAGTCTCTACCCCAGCTTGTACATTCTTCCCAGATGTACGTGGCTGCGTGAGTCCCTTTTTAGCTATTCCATGCATCATTGTTTTCAGCGCTGTTGATGTCAACCAGAGTAAGGCACTCCATCATATGAATGAGCATAAGCTACTGTACATCAATACCTTCTGGAATGCAGCCAGATAACATCCTCCCATGCAAAATAAAGCAGGCACTTAACTAATGACCTGCTGCAGCAGCATAGCTGGCATCACCTTTTGGCTCCATTTGAAGCTCTGAAAACAAAAGCAATATTTGAGTGACTGGGACACTTTATCACTCTCAGAAAAGCATGCACTAGATGTTTCGTCTTTATCAGATATAACAGGTCAATTAAAGCAAGTAAACATTTACTCAGAAGCAATCACTTTTTGTTCTTCAAAATAACAACTTGGAGAGGTGAGAGGTTGGGAGAAGACACGATACAGCCATAAAAGTAGAAAACTATCAGGGGCCCCTACTAATATGCATATATTGAAAGCAGTAATTCCTAGTCGGAGTTTCCTAATCATCCATCTCTAGGAAGCAGAAATAACCAAATAGATCTGAAGTTGTGTTTTTCAGCCAATAAAATTCTGTTTCTCAGGTATCTAAAATCAATCCAACTTGCTACTCTATTTCGTGTCTGCTTTGTCGTGTCAAGAAATGCTACCTCATTAGGACAAATAGAAGCAGCTGACTGCCAGCAACAGCTCAAATTCACCTTCAAGAATCACAGAGCCAACTTAGGTTGGAATGGAGCACTGGAGATCACCTGGTTCTACACATCTCTGCCCTACCACCAAACCATGGCCACCTCAGAACAGATCAGGTCTCCATAATCTCTTTGGGCAATCTATTCCAACGTTTGACTGCTCTCATTACGAAATTTGTTTTCTTCACATCTAATTGGAATTTCTCTTGCCGCAATTTGCAGTATTCTCTCTCTTCCTTTCATTGTGTGCCTCCAAGATGAGTTGGTCTTCTTTGTACCCCAACCCTGCAGAACAGCTGAAGACAACAGGATTCACCTTCTCACCTTTGCTAGAATTGCCCCAGTATTCCAGTGTTTTTTGTGCGCTGGAGAACCCAGACCTGCACACAGTCCTCCACATGCAGCCTTACAAGTGCTTAACAGGGAAAAATCATGATTTATTTTGATGTGACAATGGCATCATTAGCAATACAGCCCAGTATGTGGGGTCAGATGACGTTGCTGTAGGGGCAAACCATTGACTCATGTTCAGCTTGTCTACCACAGGAACGACACCATATTCTCCCCTCAAGCTTCTGCTGAGCATTCTTGGAGGCAGCATGCTGACCTAGATGAACCTGTGGCCTGCCTGGGGATGACAGGTCTCAGGTTGTCAGACCAGCTCTGCTGAAAGACTACAAAGGCAAACAAGTGCCTGCAAGTTTGGACAGAAAAGTGCCCCAAATGAGGCATGTTTTCAGCTGACTGGTACGTTTTTTCTCCAATTTGCTGAATATGAATTCTTCCCATTCTTGAAGTTCTGCACATGGATACTATGATATCTTGGTAACCTTTTAAATCAGACTTGTCCTAAATGCTGTGTGACATTAATTTTACAGAATTTTGAGATTTTGAATCAGTGTATTACCTCGCTGCAGAAGGTGAAACAGAATATTTATTTCTATGTATGGCATTTTCCTCCTAAATCTTCCAGATAGATTTGATGTTTCAAAACGCACAGAACTCCATAACTCTGGCTGACTCCCTGCTGTGCCCACTTCCAGCATTCAGCCTCACACTCTACAGTACGTCACAGCTTCTCATCAGAACTGTCTCTCTCCCATCTCATCAGTGGTCTGGGAAAGCCCAACAGAGCGTCAGGTCTGCTGCTCAGAAAGTGAATGCCAACCTGATACGAAAACCCTAATCAAAATGCCTAAATGTTAACAGAAAGGAAAGGAAGGATTTCACACCACGGATTTGCTACTGTAGGGCATAGAATCAAAAATCCTAATAGCAAGACAACTTTCAAATGCCAAGAAAATTTAATTCAAAATCTGTCTCCCTCATCAGCCCCTCTCGCCTCCAAATTCCCTGTACTCCTTTCTTCACTAGGCCTCAGAAAATCTTCCTACATCAACTCAGAAGGCTGCAAACAGACATTTATACCCTTTTTCTAGAGCGATGTGATGGATACTAGAGTTGCATCAGTCAATATGCTCTGTAGCACAAAATGAGGTGAGGCGGCGTAACCGAAGCGGGGTGTTTCCTCATACCAGTGTCAAGGAAGCTGCATGTTCTGTCAAGCTGCAGTTTTGTAGTTTCAAGTTGCCCTTAAAGTCTTGTTTGCTAACAAACTCTTTGGACCAAAGATCAGGAGCATCTTCTGATTTGTTCTGTTTTTTTCTCTTGTTGCCTAGAGCAGGTAACAGCATTAATCAACAAACATTTCCTGAGTACTTCTCATGAATTTCTTCATGTTCCAAGCCTGACATTTGGGCTTCCCAGAACCAGAATTGCACTGACAGACTCAAGTAGCTGAATCCAAGCAATATAAACCAGAGCTTGTCTTTCATGGACTGAACTCCATAGGAACACACCTGGATTTCCAAATTAAGAACAAAGGAAAACTTGTAATGAAATCACAGATGTAAAGGCATTAAAAAATCTACAGCCTCCAACTCAGTCCACATCCTCAGTTGTCCTTTTCTTCTCTTATCTTAAGTGAAAATGGAATCTGATGGCATCTTTTTTTCCGAGAAAATTAACCATTTTTTCATTACCTACTTTCTTTAAAGACAAGATCATCAGTATCCCTCTTACTCTGCAGAAAAGCATGAGTTAGTGGGGTCCGAGGAAAAGCTGACCTCTGCAACCTCTTCTGTGAGGATATTTTGCTCCTCTGTCTTGCTGAAGCTAGTGTATTTGACAGTGCAAAAGCCCCAGGATATCTAGCAATGGAAGGAAGGTCATCACTGAAATATTGCGAATTGTAGCAATTGTGCAAGGATTGTTCATACTGTAAGAATTTTCACAGCTACATCCCAAGTCATTAAAGAGAAGGCTGTTCTAGCCAGATGGGTTTAAAAAGAAATATGGGCTCAAAAGTCCACATAAGCACAGGCCTTATGAGGAGCAGCTGAATTAGCTGGGATTGGTCAGTCTGGAGAAGAGAAGACTCAGGACACTTTACTGCTCTCTACAACTATTCTATGATTCTATGACTACCTGAAGGGAGGCTGTAGAGAGCTGGGGGTCGGCCTCTTCTCTCTAGTAACTGATGATAGGACCAGAGGGAATGGCTTCATACTGTGCCAGGGGAGGTTTAGGCTGGATGTCAGGAAATACCACTTTTCTGAAAGAGTGGTCAGGCGCTGCAATGGGCTGCCCAGGGAGGTGGTGGAGTCACCGACCCTGGAGGCGTTCAAGGAACGGTTGGATTTTGTGTTGAGGGACGTGGTTTGGTGAGAACTGTTGGTGATGGGCGGATGGTTGGACGGGATGATCTTGTAGGTCTTTTCCAGCCTTGGTGATTCTGTGATTTCTTTGAACTTCATGAAAATGAATATTCAACTCCAAGATCTCCATTGTGTTGCTACCCCTTCTCTGTATTACAAAAGTTGATTCAGTCACCAACACAGCGGTATGACGATTTGTTTAAAGAATGCTGCACATGACTGCTGTTGAGCTGGAACGGTCAACAAAGGAAAGGATGAGCGGGGAGAGGGACCTTCTGCACATCCCATGGCAGCAAACCAGGGAGCAACTCAGCTGGATGCAGAGACTCTGTGAACTCATCACTTCTCTTTGCAAGGCTATGTACTACAGTATCTTTGCTCCTTTTTTTACTGATCCCCAGACTGGTGGAATTCTGAAGGCAGATGTGGGGATCCTCTGTGCTGTGTATGAAGGTGAGTGCATATCCACACAAAACATGCACTCCTCCAATCAGCTGAAGACTGTCTGGAAGGACTCGGTGCACGGCCATGCTAACCAGCATCAGCTTTACTCACAGCTAGCAACAAGGGCCTCCAAAATTTCAGGAGAATAGGAAATATACATTTCAGCTACTTTCGTATCAGTCTTCTGGAACACACACAGTAGAAATTATTATTATTATTTTTTGCCGTGGGAACTACATTCAGCTGTAAGGGCCATTATGGCAATAGCAGATCAGCAGTAAGTAACCACCTTACTGAGTCACTGTTCAAACTTGCTAATGGAGATGGAACAGTTAATTAGGCAATGGGATTAGCCAAAATACAATACATCTCCTTTATCAACACAATCCATGATGTGACTCTCATCTTTGCCCTGTACTTATGACCTTCATGCTATACAGAAGACATTCTTACTGCCACTACCCATGGGCAACACCTTCTTCTAATTACCTTCTGTTTGGAGGATTTCATCATCGGGGTTTCTGCTCTTGGTGTGTGTGTATATATGTGCACTCAGAGATGCACAAGCAGATATCTGATTGTACTGGAATACTTAGAGCACAGACTGTGAAACAGCTCGAGAACCCATGTCTGCCATGAAGATAACAGGTGTTTTTGTGCTTCTCGCCCTGGCGGTTCTCTGCCTAGCAGGTGAGTAACCTTTTTTATTGGTTAACATGCTCTATTTACAATGCTTTATTACTGAAAATTCTTGATCTGCTAGGATAGATAGCGGTGGTTGCTGGGCTTGTGTGGCAGAAGGCAAGTGAAATTTTATGCTCATGCACCATTTACAAGCAACATTTCAGCAGCTTTGCAGTTGCCAACTTGTGTAGATGAAACCTATTCCTTGACAGCAGTGTGAATCAGAGCTGTGTTCTGCACTGTAACTAAGAAGTGATCTGTAAAGCCTCCAAACTCAAACAGGTTTTTTACCTACTCATTTTCTTCTTCAATCTGAGTGGGTTGCTTGGAGCTAATGAGATCCTTCTGCCAAAGTGAGCAAGCAGGAGAGAGGTGATTATGCGCCAGCCATAGAATATGCTGTGAGCAGCCTCTTTGTGGGGTTAGTTTATTGGAGATAGCTTTGAGGCACAAGTTACTCTATCATAAAATACAGAGCTGAGAGGAATTTCTTGAGCCTTCACTTGATAGTTCAGTTTTTTGGAATACAAACTTGCAACATATTAAAAAAAAAAAAAAGACAGAAAAATAAAAATAAGTAAATAAGTACACTTAGAATAACTGAAAGGAATGCAGATCTTCACTGCTATTAGAATGGATGTCCAACAGCATTATTAATCTTAAGGAATGGGTTTTTAATGAGAAATATGCTTTCAGCCCACTTCATTCACTGCAGCAACAGCAACAAACATTGCTCCCACAAGAACTCCAGCAAATCCCTTCCTTAGACATTCTAGTTTATCTTACTACTTCAAAACTTTATGGATCGATACTTTATGAGCCAGATCTTTTTTGATGTACTGTGTAACTTATGCCAGCTTACTTTACCTTGGATGACTTTATTTAATCAGAAGACGTAGGCAGTTTGATGGAAGCGAAGTTCAGTGGAAAGCTGCCTATCATTAAAGATGCAGATCAGCTGCATTTAATTAGAAAAACAAGTCTTAGTGCCTGTATTGCTCCTTATAGCATATTGCACACTGCTCCTTCTGTACAAAGCCTCTGCCTGACTTTTATCCTTTTGAAGCCATAGAATGACAATCACAGGACAGGAGGAGAACAAAATACATTCCTAAAGAAAGTTATGAATGTGTCAGCACAGTGGAGACATGCCAATGTTACTTGATTACTTTCTGGAAGGTGTAATTAACACTGAGCAGCTGTTTTGAAGGAGCTTTTCGAAGCCCCACCTGAAATCAGGGCTCTATTATATTGGGTGCAATGTGTGTAAGGAATAGGAAACAGTCCTTCTGACAAATAGTTTAAAACCCAAGGCAAGGGAAAACACATTCTAAAATTGGTACTATGATCCAAATTTCATCATCATCATAATCTAGATTATATAAAGTTATATCCTCATTGTAAACAGGAAAAAAAGGATATAAGGAATGTGTGCCTTGCTTACAACCACGTGAGTTTTTTGGAAGACCTAGGAATTAAAACCCAGTCGTGCCCAACTCGTTCATCCACAGAACATGAGCCATGTGATGTAATAATAACTCCTGATTCTTTAATCTTCCTCTGATGGAAAGGGGAACAACAGACTCCAATCCCCAAATAGCAAAGGCTGTTCAAGCTGCTGACGCTGATTCCTAAGGTAAACAAGGCAGTGATTCCCACTTGTTGGATAAGTCCTGACACAGGTAACTTATACAGCACTGAGGAACTATGTAAGTATTTACTTTCAAGAAAGCAAGAGAGGTGGAACTGCTGCTAATGAGGGCAGCTCAGATGCAAAATGAAGATTCACCAGCAGTGTTCTTTTACTTCATCTTTTGTGATTCTGTTTATATTGCAGATGCTGCCCAAAAGGATGAGGTGAGTCACTTTCTTCTTTATTTCTGGATAAAAATATATAGTTTGTAGTGAGAGTGCAGCAAGATCAATGAGGTCAGAAAAAACACATTAACCAATTGCTGCCAAAGTCAAAAAGAAATCCCCAAGGCTGAGATATGTGGCTTCCATACAGTTGCTCTGACACTTTCCAGATGTTGTATATGTATACTGCCTTATGTATAAGGCAGTCTGGGCAAGAAATAGATCAAGGCAAAATTGTAAGCCAGAAAAATCAGGATTTTATATATTTATCTGGTGACAACATTGTAAGGCTTACTTGGTGACTTTCAGATCCTAAATTGCATATCCAAAATTTTAATTTACCCCTGTCTGCACTGGATTGTCCATCCTGGAGTCACCCTCTGAGATCAATGAGGCACTAAGCAGTAAAAATCCTTCCTCAGGTGAGGAAAGAGTTCATCGGGGATTGCAGCGAGCAGCAGTGATGCGTGGAGATTCACCCACTCTTATCAGCACAGCACACACAGCCTCTGATGCTGGAACCCAGGCTAAGGCACACACTCTTTTCCGGGAGGAGCCAGTTCCACTTTCTTTTCCATTTTACCAACTGTTATGTAGAAATAAGGCAAATCCATTTGATTTGTAGCTTGTTTTGTTATCTGACCTTCACCACCCACAGGCTAGCAATTGAGCAGCCTTATGTTGAAAATTGCAAGCTATGGATTCCCTCCCATGCCACTGCCTTTGCTGGGTTATGTGGCAGAAGGCTGCTGGCCATTAGGTCTCTGATCTCCTTCTGCAACTGGGGCCAGTGTTTGACATGCATTGGAGAGAAAAGTGACCAACCAAAGGAAAAGACTGGATAAACCAGTATCTCATGGGCTTCTCTTATGGGGCAATGGGTTTGAGCCCAGAATACCTCAAGAAGTAATTGGTTAATGACCCTTTTGCCAGGGGAGACCTCTCAATTTGCTGATCACAGCAGCCACAGCACAGGCTGCTGAAGGAGCTGAGCACATATGGCTCATTGCTCCTCACTCACATGCAGCCCCTGGACAACAACTGTCACAAAAATAGTCACAGAACCTGTAATAAGCTCCAGGTCTTGGCTGGAGTAATATTCCTTCACTAAGAGATGGGACAAAGGGTAAAAAACAGGGCCACAAAAAGACAGCAGCAAAGCCAGGTTCTATTTTAAATGCTTACGTGCATAATAGATATTTCTGATAGATCTTCAGAAAGCAGAAGCTCCAGTCATAGCCTCCCTGCAAAGACTCATATTTCAAATGCTCACAAGGCTGGCAGTGAGCAGAGCTGAGCCAATATGAGTTGCAGCAGCACAAAAAAGAAAGGTGATTTCCTAGGTGAGCAAACTCCAAGCTTTCAAGGATAACAAACAATACATTGAATAGAATATGTGAACTATACAAGAAGCTCCTCAGCTGGCAAATAGCAGGAATGACATTCATTTCACGAAAGAAGCCCGAGCTCTGGAAAGAGGACAGGAGCTCTTTCAGGGATTTCTTTTATTAGTTTGTACTCCCACTTTTATATATACTTCTATAACAAATACAGTCCTACTGTCAGATGAGAGAGAGCCTTTCAAAGCTTCTTTTCATTTACACAGGACTTTGTCAAATTCTGCCGGATCTCTTCACTGCTGTGAAAAGTTGTGTTTGTGGAAAGGAGACAGAAAACCTTCACATCCTTGAAAAATAATCTTACTTTAATTTACTGACAACTGCAAGCATGGGGAAAATACATATTAAGACTCAAAATTTGTAAATGGAAAATGAGCTGTATTATTTCCCTTTATTAATTCAGGCAGACAGCAGAGTTCCCAAAGGTGCTCAATACCTGCCATCATACATTTCTTTCTTATGGCTAGGGCTCAGCTAGTTCAGATGGTGGAGCTCCCCTGACTGCTGCTCTGCAGCAGCTGATAGCTTTGCCCAAAGATGTTGCATTATCTCTGTATGTGAATGATGAATGTGAGAAAGGCTTATTCCAACAAAAATGATGTTGTATTTGCAGGTAGACTGCAGTGAATACAGGAGGTTAGAGAGAGGAAGACCTATTTACTGCGAAAAGCTCTACGAACCTTTTTGTGGCTCTGATGGGAAAACATATAACAACAAATGTTCTTTCTGCAAGGCAGTCCTGTAAGTAAGATACTGAGTGATGACTTCTGAATTAGCTCAAATCTGAGATGAGCTATCTGGCATTTCCACTTCATTTTGTCCAGGGTCTCTGCTCCTCTGTTTCTTTGCTTAACCTTTACAGAGTAACTGCTTCTCCCCACAGTAAGGCCCAGTTCATCCAAAGAGGTGCCTTTGGCGTTTGTGGGAGCAGCTTCCTGCTCTAGGAGAAACTAGAAGTGGAACAGAGCAGAGGAGAGTCCACTGAACAGCACTGGGCTAACAAGGCACCAAATTGGGTGATATCAGAACTCAAATGTGGAATTTCCAATATTGGAAATATTTTTATATTGGAAATATCGAAAATATCAGAGCTTTCTTACTTCTTATGTATAAGATAAAGCATTTTTAAAAGAAAAAGCTTTCTAAATCAGTGTCTTCTTGCCTGCTGCAAATGTTCACAGTGTCTTTTCTGTTAGCAAATTGTTGGCTGAGGACTTCAAAGAGATTTTAGTCCACAATGGAAAGTTTACTGTCTGCACCGTCTTTCCTTTCCTTCGCAGGAAGAGCAGAGGAGCCTTACATATGAAGCAAGCAGGTGTATGCTGAATTAATTCTGCATGACAGAGAAGAATGCCAAGAACAGCTTTACACTGCCTTATCATGATCTCCTAATTTAATTTCATTCATCCTGTACTAATAAAAAAGAACAGATCTCCATGTACACCTTTCAGCTGTGCTCTGATGTCTGCTGCTTCTCCCTGCTCTGGAGCGCAGGGGCTGACACATCTGTCATCCCTGCAAATCTTCCTCTGGATACCCATAAGCATTCCTCTTTCTGCAGCATGTTGGTTTTCACGTGAGCACTGCATGATGCATTTGTCTCCATAGTGAAAGTTCAGATCCCTACATTGCCACCTGCAGGCACTGCTCAGTTTTCCTTGCTGGAGCTTGCTCCCACTCGCTCTTTTCAGACGCTTCCTTTCAAAAGCTTCAGCTTCCCAATGAAGCGCTCAGGCTCCTCCAGTTTTGTAGCTAAATTTTTGATTCTCCTTTTTCTTTTGACTTTGTACAATTCTGATTCACATACGTTGTGTAACTTCTTAGATTGCATGTTTATTAAAACAAACGTAGGCTCTTTTCTTTTTGTCTGTGGTGACCTCTCTAGAGAATAAATTTGTTATATCAGTTATTCACAAATGAGACGTGGAGTCACAGCAACTAGTTACAGAGCAGGAGCCAGAGGCAGTGGGCTGGCAGAGCAGAGCTCAAGACAACTGTTGTAATATTAGCAAGACACACTAGATGGCCCCATGTTATTGAAATTTACCCTACAATCAGGCCCACTTTTTCCTTCAAATGAAACAAATCCATAAATGTGCAGGACTGTGTAAGCTTTGAAGCTGTGTCTCTGTTAAACCCAGTAATGTGATCTATGAATGATTCTTTTAATTTCTGATAACTTGGCTGCTCTCAGACCTGAAGAAAACTGTGTTCTACTATTATGTCTGTCTTATCTTCATTATTAAGCTGCCCTATGTCTTTGACACTTAAATAGTCAGCCAAGGGAGCGCATTTTCCACAATTAAAGCTTATTAATGAATGAATTTACTGGAATTACATCTGAAGAAAACTTTGGAACTGGAATGTAAGACTCATACTTTAGAGGAACATAAAATCAGACAGGAAACTTCTGTCCTTGCCTTTGAAGATGAGATACCAGAAAGCTGAGCCATCCCACTGCTGGCTGAAAAGCACTGTAGTTCCAGGCAGACAGCATTCCGTAACAGAGGGACTGAGAGGATCTGTTGGTCCATTACGTACCTGCCATGTCCTGGCAGGGCTGAGAACATCACCCTCATGCTTTGTACGGGAAAAGAGGATACTGGCAATTATGTGATACTGAAAATGACCAGAGATGGTCTTTCGCATGTTACTACTTTATTGTGCCAGGATCCAGCTGTGAGTACTGAGATTCCATCATCTTTACTTTGAAATAGCTAGCATGGCCCTGCCATGGCTGTCTTGGATCACAATTCTTCCCAGCACTTCTCTGGCACATTCTGGAACTGGCTAGAGATCACTGCTGGACAGAAAACTGTATGAAGGCACCTGGTTTTAGAAGGCAGAAGAGATTTCATAGCACAGATATGCCATGAAACTAGCTGATACGCAGACTTGCCATCCTCCACATGAGAAAGGCTCCATTTAATTTGCTGCTACATGCATATGCAATTCTAGTCTTTAGTTTGTTTTATAATATGAACTGGTTCAACCATTTTAAAACTAATTATATTCGGTACATCGGATACAAATCTTCTGGTATTTGATGTTGATTTTGCTGATTATAATAAGTAACTGGCAGGGGTCAGAATGGATTTGAAATCCATTTTTTTCCTGATTTTGGTTCTCAATTGCAAAGATGAAAACATCACACAGAACAGTATGTGATATGTAGGGGGGCCTGAATCCCAAGGAGTCCCAAAGATCTATTCTCTTTCTTATACATCTGCTGCCTTTCAGATACTCAACAGCTCTTTAGGAGGAGACTCTTAGTACTCACAGAACTCAGAATACAAAACATTAACAGTGTCTTTGGGAAAAGAAATTTAAAAGTTCAACAACAGTAAAAGCTGTATGCAATTGATGACCTTGGCCATGAACAACCAAAAGGAAGATAAAGCTGAAAAAACAACAAAAGAAAGGAAAAAAAAAAGAAAGAAAAAAAAGGAAAAATGAGGAGTAATGAAATGTTGAAGCACATAACCCTAGAAAAATTGAGTGGTATATTCCAACCAAGAAAACAGCATGAAACGAAAATACTCTGCATTTTTATGTCAAATACTTCTAAAAAATGAGTGAATTTAACAAAGTTCTTCCTCTTTCTGATTCTCCATTTCCCTAAAGCATTACCTATCCTGGTAACACTAACTAGGGAACACACAAAAAATCCTGGTCAGCATTATTATATGCTATTCCCATTCACTGCTGTGTCCCCTGAAATCCCCTCTGTGGGAGCCTTCAGACTCCTTTCTAAGGGACGGTGGTACTCGTACATTAAGAACCTTCTCATCACTCTGTGTAACTCAAACGTCATTAGGACTGATGTTGGGCTATCTGTGACCTTGGCTTTAACTCTCCTCTTTCAGAAGGGACAGAATGGACATGTTATTTTCTAAGTGACACATTTTGGTGTCCTACTGAGGTTATCAGTTTAGATCGACAGTCTGAGCCAAGTGCCAGGGTAAAACTGGAAACTTAAACATTCGGGCTAATGAAGGTGGATGAAGGGTTTCCTAGCAGACCACAGTCCCCTTCTCTTTGAAAGTGCAGTCAAGATTAATTAGCACCTCCACGTGTCAAGGGATGAACTGCTGCTGTGAATGCTGGATCACACAAGTGGCTTATGTGAGGAACAGAAAGCTCCCAGAAGGAGGAGTGTGGTCACTCTCTTCATGGCACCTCCCAGTGTGTGTTTCTGCTTGGTGTATTCTTCTCAACAAACTCAGACTTCATGTGTGGTGGGTAGGGAGAAAAGTGTTTGAGAGCATCATCTTCAGGAGAAGAGTTAGGTACAAATGGCATCTATTTATTTCCTCTCTGAAATAGAAGAGGCTGGAAAGCCTTGTCATTCTAATAGGAACAGAGAAATATGGACCTTTTAGTGATTTGCATGACTGCCTTCCCAAGGTCTATATATTATGAAAACACTGGAGTAAATGGATGTTAGTGTTTTTTATTATTATTATTATTTGTCCTCCAGCCAAAGATAGGAATATCACCTAATATTGAAATACTTTTTAAGTTGCCATGTCTTGAAATTGCAGTTAGGACAGCTGACTAGAAAAATACCTCCATTGGGCCATGAGAGTATTCTGGTCGTTTTAATGCTTTTGTTCATTCTCCTTCAGACAGACTGCTCACATGAGTACATTAATTAGATATGCTGCTGGTAAAGAGCTAAATTGTACACCTGGTCTAAGGAGAAGTTGTTGTTAGGGCCACAGGTGCCCATTTCTGGCATGAGAACAGTGAGACTTAAGGTCTGAGTGCATTGACTGGTGAATGATGCCAGTCAGACAGCCCTGCCTGGTTTTTTTTTGAGTAAGATATGTGTAAAGCATGTGCATGTAGGCAGATGTGCAACTAAGGATAAATCAGTGGTGACAAAAAAATCTGCCAACGTGTTATTTCTCATCAGCTGGAGTTGTTACCTGTTGAAATACGTAAGCTGAGAAAGGTAAGTAACCTAATTCTCTTTGTATTGAATGAGAAGGAAAAATAGAGGATGCTAGTCGAAAACTGTTCTGCCTATTCTAGCACAGGGACTAAAACCAGCACTGCCCTGCATTTTGATTGTCTGGAAACCAGGCCCAAGCAATGAGGCAGCAGGAATGCAGATGAGTGAAGCAAAAGTTTCTCAGAGCTCAAAGGCTTCTGGCTTTGGACAGGCAGCCTAGAAGTTTCCCAGGACAGATCATCCTGCCATGACTGCATCTTGGCTGAGAAAGATCACAGTGAGTGAACAGAATCAAACTCTGATCTTTTATCACAATGACAGAAAAGCCAGCAGACAATGTGGGGGATGTCTTCTGTCTTGTAGCTTGGCCTGTTACAGCCAAAGTGAATACTCACATCAGCTGCTTTAGTATATTCAAGTTTTTAAGCAACTGTTTGTGTGAACCAAGTTTCCCATACAGCCAATGCACATTCACAGGGGTGACAGAACCTGGTTAGGTTTGAAGGCCTAAAATGCACAGGATGTACATCCACCACAGACCTCTGGAACTCTAATTCTTTTCTGATCAATTCTGACATGAAACAGTAGCAGAGAGCAACACTGTCCAATGTGGCAGGTTTGAGCCCTTTATCTCCTTCTGCTGGCAACATGTGGTGGCCCGTAGCTGCAGATAACACTGAGAAGCATATCAGCTTTTGCCACATACCAGACCAAAGAATTTGCATACTGCTGTAAATGACATCTGAAAATAAATGCTGAAGCAGCCAGACAATCTGGACAGTCAAGCTTGTGCAATGGAGCAATGACATAGAAATATGGGGAAGAAAAATGTGCATAGCTTGAGTGAGCTGATGAAACATGCTCAGATCCTGTTTGCTTGAAATAATGGGCAGCCAGATATTGGCGTAGAACACAAAAATAGAGCACATGTCCTTGCACTAAAAGAGCATGCAAGTTTTCAAAAGTCTGCTGAAAAGGAACTCATGTATCATTGATGTATCTTTATACATACGTAGAGGAGAAGGTAGAAGCTTCACAGTAAGGTCTTCTTATGCTTTCTTTTTTCCTTCTGTTACAAGAGGTAATGAAATATGGGCCTGAAAATGAGATGGTTTGGATTCCTGGAAAAGAGAATTACTGTGCTATAATAAAACTACTTCACTTGCCCATAAAGCCCAAACTCTGTTTTCTAATTACTGTCATTGCTGTAGCAAGTCAATCATGGATGTCCAACCTTTTGGCTCACCTGGGCTGCACTGAATGAAAAGGAATTGCCTTGGGCTGTGTATTTGCAAGTCACTCCAAAAGTAATGCCTCCTGTATGTTTCCATGGAAATGATAACAGATACAAATAATACTGTATAATTGAGCAAATTCTCAGCTACAAAACTTTATTTTTCAGCATAGTCACCACCATTTGCTGTTTTTTTTCCAGTGATGAACAAGACCCTGCGTGTCACAGCTGTAAGAATCTGCACCAGCAGAGGTGATCCGCTGTAGCTTTCACCACTGCTGTAATGCACCACCCACCGTCTCACTGCGCTCACATCCACTGTTTGGTCTCCACCAACAAGTATTGATGAAGGTCAATGGGTTCACTTTTTCCACATGGAGGAATTCAATTCCATACGCACTTCCATGTCAGGTCCCATTGTTTCAGACCTCCCCTCTGCTGCCATCTATCACATGGCAACAACATGAAATGGATATTGGTGGAAGGTTCAGCCTCTACTGCTATACCTCCAACATCTGCCTCTGACATTCCAAGCCAACATCATAAATAGGAGACATTACTTTCGAAGAAGCCTCATAAAACATATTTAATCCATATAAAGAAAAAAAAAAAAACAACCTGATTTTTAAAAAGAGAGCAC